TTCCTGCGACGCAGGTGTGCTTTATCCCGTGGCTTCAGCACAGCAGCAGCAGCAGCAGAGTACAAAAGGTGGTGATGAAAAGTGCCACCAGGTCACAGTGGACTAGTGGCAACCCCGTGGGGCTTTCAAGGCAAGAGACATTCAGAGGTGGTTCACCATTGGCTGCCTCCAGTAGCCACCCTGGACTTCCTTGGTGGGTGCCCACCCAAGTACTAAACGGGGCCGATCCTGTGTAGCTTCTCAGATCTGACCAGACTCAGCTCGCCCTGGCCATTTATCACATGCCTTCCATACAGCAGCATCAGAGTACAGAAGGAGTGGAGTCTTAATTGGAATCCTGTTGAACAATCCTTTGCAGGCAACTTCTGGAGTCTTTTTTTTTTTTAAGTGTAGGTTTAGAATCATTGCCATTTTAAAAGACAATGTCAGTTGTGAGACCTTAATGTTTTCCATGCACTTTTGGCAATAGCGGTGCTCCTCCTGGCTTCCGTGCAGGCACGCATGGGACTGCGCTTCCGCAGGCCAACCACAGAGAGGAGCGAGCGAGCTTTTAAACAGAATCTTCTAGCCTCCCAAGAGCGCTCCCCCTCCCACTCCGCGTGTTGAGTGTGTTTTTCCTGCCCAGTCATCACATGGTGGAGGGCAAGCACTCTTTCATCCAGGGGTTGTTCGCTGCCGGAGCTCACTGGAGCAACGCTCCTGCAGTCAGGACCCCAGGGGGCGGGCACATGTAGCAAGCCCCACCCCCTGCTCCCAGCAGCCCTCAGTCGGGCCGCGAGGAGCAACATGAAAGAGGTAAATTGAAGAGGGGTCCCGGGAAAGGGGCCAGGGGCGGGGAGCTGGGCTGGGCGACTGGGGCTGGCTAGCTGCGGGCGTGTGTGTATTGCGGGGGGGGATGCCTTGCAAAGCCGTAGGCTCACCTGCTTGTGGGCAGAGAGAGACCCAGGGTCAGGGGTCTGCAGAGCCTCTCCTTCCGTGGCTTCCAGGTGAGCTGAGATCGGTCAGCAGCAGCAGTGACTGGCACCTCTTCGCCTTGGAGCAGCACCTGCTCTGCACACACGTCGGCAGTCCATTGCCCTGCCCAGAAAGAATCCCCTGGCTGTCGGGAGCTGCTGACTGGGCGGGCTTCCGGGCGGGAGCCTCGCGGCTGGGCAGAGGCGGGGGGTGGAAGTGGACCGCCAGGGGGGATTCTCTGCTGCTGCCGCTGCACTTGTTGCCTGCCTGCTGCAGGGGGGGGGACGGCGGCATGTGGGGGACAGGCTTTCAGCCACCTGTTGGGATGCTGTGCAGGAGGGGGGGTTCCCTGCAGCGGGGCAGGGGTGGCCAGCTTCGGGGTGGGGAAGTGGGGGGGGAGAAAGTTGGGAGAGGATTGCAGGAGGGGGATTTCCCTGCAGCGGGGCAGGGGCGGCCAGCTTGGGGGTGGGGAAGTGGGGGGGAAGAAATTTGGGAAAGGAGGGGGAGCGAGAGGAGGTGGTGGCGGCTGGGCTCGGAGTTTGCGGGCAGCTGCCGAGGTTGCCCCTAGCAACCAGCCCCGCTGCACCCCGAGGGTCCGGTCTGGACAGCCGCCAGGGTCCTGTGAGTGAGCAAAAGGCGCCAAGGTCGAGGGCCCCCCCCCATGGGCTGCATGCGGAAGATGGTGGAGAGCTGGTGAAGGCGGGCGGGTGGAGCGAGACTCTTGGTCCTCTGACGGAGCGGCCTCAGGCCCCCAACATGGCTTTGGATGCTCCGGGACTGCGGGGGGGCTTTGCTGCGCTGTGGCTGAGCAAGTTCTCCAGCTGTTGGGCTCCCCCCTGTTCCCTTTCCTGCCCCCCCAGGGGCACCCCAGATCGTCGTCTTCATCTTCTTCTTCTTCGTGTCCAACTCCTCCTCCTCCTCCTCCAGGGGCTTGCTCATAGCCCTGTCTTGCTCGAGC